GTAACTAAAAGACATATAATCAGAGTATATTCTATTTAGCAAAGTTTGTTATAATAAATTTATTAATACAAGCATATATATATTCTAACTTATACATCATTTTTGAAGATCAACATATACATGTATTCATTGTAGTTACTTTCATGTGATTTACTATTATTTGTTGCGTATTACACAATACCTTAAGTAAAAACATGTCCTAATGTGAAAACCCAAGGATGTACATCACTTGGCCTTATAGCTCAGTTGGTAGAGTATCCGAAATGGTAGTCGGAAGGTCTTGAGTTCGAATCCTATTATTTATTTATTTAATATTTATTATAATCTATGTATTCATACATCTACATATGTGTAAAAAAATCTATAAAACACATTTCCTAAGATAGTATGGTATGTATCCTTCCTGATAGCTGTTTTTTCATATATACAGAAGCTTGCTTGTTTCTATGTAATTGTTTGCTATTTTTTGTTCTCATTATTATTTGTTTCAGAAATGTACCCTTGACACAGTGCTACCACACAATTTACCTATTATTCTATGACTAACAAATGCCGAAGCAAAAGAGAAAGAAAAAAACAAGGAGAAAATAAAACACAATACAGGCTGAAGTTGGCAAACAATTGAACCGTTTTTGAAGGTTTTCTTTTAACTAATAAAGTAGTCTTACCTGACCCTGATAACATTTTATAATCCAAGTACAAATAACAACATATCTAATCAAAGTTTGATTTATATTTGTATTATTAAAATGTTAGTAACTAATTAAGGCCAAAAATACAGTTGGAGTATGCCTTCACTATGTCACAAAAATGCTTCTGCCTCAATCAGGCTGAAGTACTATGTTTATTCCAAGCACCAAAAATACCACCTTCTATTGATAGCATTGTACTTTTTCATACCAACTGTGATTATACATGGTTTGAATAGAAGTATTGCATGAAAAAACCACTGATTATGCCACTGTATAGGCTTTAAGAAAGACTAGAGTAAATTGATGTGAGGACATGAGCAATTACTAAAAGACGTTGATCCCCTTCACAAAGTTTCAGCGAGATGAATATAGTAAAATGGTTAATGATTAAGGTGGGGAGATTTTCCTGTTTTGAACAATTGCACCAGTTACGCATGAGCTACTGCAAGGATGTATGATTGACATGACTAAAATGAATGGAGACAACACGACATGCTACGTACCTTCAATAGACATCATGTTACGCAGTTCTCGATTCAGCATCTCAAATCTTCGCTCAAGGTCATGTTCCTTCTCCCTGTATAAAAAAAGAAGATAAAAGCAAAAGCTAAAAAAAAGCTGACAGACACTATACATAGGACAGAGGGGATTGTGGTGACGAGGGGATTTATGGTGCTTTCATGGGACTGTGAGTGCCTCAGACTCAATTAACCCAATCTGGGTTAATTACAGAAACCTATACATTAACTCTGCAAAATTTGACACCTACAAAGATACAATAGTTACAACTGGTCACGTGGCCCCTTAGTTACCTCTCATTTCTTTTATGTGGGTGACAATAAACTTACTGTACCTTTTTTAATGTGTTATATTTTGCCCTATTTTTCACAGTGTGCCATTTAATATATGGAGTGAAGTCATTTCGCAGCTACTGGAACAAGACCCTTTCTGTTAAAATTTGGAACCTAATCTTTCAGTATTTCATTAAAAACTCAAGAAGACACAACATTTCCACATTTCTTAAATTTCCGAATTTTTTTTTGTGTACTGAATTATTGTTAAGATAGGCTAGATGCAAAATCATTAAATGAGTTTGCCCATTTAGTACAGTTTTTGGCAGTCAAAATTGCAGGGCTGGTTCCTTGAAAATATTCTGAGTTTATTCTTAGTATTTGTGACCGGGAATGGCAAAACCCTACATTTGTCACAATTTCAAACTTCACTCTATCACACAAAATGTCAAAAAAAGAAGACGACTTTTATGGAAAAAAAATGTATTAAAGAATATTTTTGCAAAATAGTAATTACTAAATCTAACTGAAAAGTATATTAAAATTGTCATGCCTAGTCTTACCGAGTGACTACTAATATGCCAGGGTTTTAGTTTATACTTTACTGGTGTTTTTTTATGCTACATTAGTAGAGACTCCAGGATGTTGTCTTAGAATCATAACCTTAATATTCCTCCATAAAAAATCAAAATAATAGCTTCTTCAGCAAAAGAAAAAGTTGATCCTAATGTGGGAACTTCCCCTGATCCGTGTCAATTTTAAATGGTTTCCATCAATCACAATGAAAATACCAAACATATACCCAAATTAATCTCAAAATATTTGCTGGTTTTCTTTTCAACCCAATGTCAGAGAAGCTCTGACTGATGAATTTCTGACAGCCAATTTAAGGCTAGACTCAAAGAAGCATGTGTAATGGTATGCATGAATAAGCCACCGAAGAATACTAGGGTACAGCTATTATGTCCTGGATGGAGGTTCCTTGTCTAGCCGGACAATGGACTGGTGAAGCAAGGTGGACACAGTTATGTAACTTATTAAAAGTGGTAAATGCCCTTCTGCGAACAATAGCGGTCAGTATGTCCATTAACTTTACTCAGGAGGAGCATTCAACTGCAAAAGTAAAAGACAGCAAAAAATTCCATTGAGCTGCACGTCATTCCCACGCTATGTTCAAATACCTTGCCGTTTGCTGTCTCACAAACCATACAACTTTAAGGCAGCAATGAACGTCCTCCAAAACTAGGGAAATGGAGGTTTGGTCAAGAGATGATTCACAAGGAAGTGCCGCACCTTTGCATTGTTTTTGTGGGTCACCTTCTTTTCCTGTTTTCTTTACTTTTACTAAGGCGAGACTTTTCTTATTCCTTGTTTTATGAACTTATTTTTTTAAAGATTATCAAAGGTGGATGGAAAAAAGATAAAAAATAAAATATTTTTGCCAAAAACATGGGATGGTTAAATGCTTTATATTTACATAAATAGGAAGAAATATACCAATCTTATTTTTAGAGATTTCAAGGCAGTGTTGGGCATAAAAAAAAAATAAAGAAGAACTTTTAATTTTTTCTGAAATATCCAGTTTTCGCGGCGGAGGGTGCGCTAATTGGCCAAAAATTAAATTTTTTTTTTTTTTTTTAAACAGTTGAGTAGCAAGCATTGAAATGCTGAAAATGTAAACTACCTTTTATAGAAATGAATACAAGATATTGTAATTTGATTACACTAGAAAAGTGTATTAAGTTAATACCATCAAACCCTCCTCTGAACATAATACCAAAGCTTAGTAATTACAAGTACAATTCAGAGTATATAAAAATTAAGCCAAACCACAGCCATAAAAAAATCCCATCCTCACAAATGAAATAGTATTTTGATCAAACCCGGAAATTTATCATATAAAATTGATACTTAAATGCAGTTATTAACTATTTTAATATTTCAATCTTATATTAAACTTGGGAATGGTATATATCTCATTAACTGTTGGTGACTCAGTTTACATTAATGCATTATGGGATATTTTGTTTTTGAATAAGTAACATACTTTGGGCTCACAACTGACATGTGGTCATAAGTTAAATTTTTCCTCTAGTCACAATGCTTAGGTTAGGCACTAGAAAAGTGTATTAAGTTAATACCATCAACCCTCCTCTGAACATAATACCAAAGCTTAGTAATTACAAGTACAATTCAGAGTATATAAAAATTAAGCCAAACCACAGCCATAAAAAAATCCCATCCTCACAAATGAAATAGTATTTTGATCAAACCCGGAAATTTATCATATAAAATTGATACTTAAATGCAGTTATTAACTATTTTAATATTTCAATCTTATATTAAACTTGGGAATGGTATATACTGTATCTCATTAACTGTTGGTGACTCAGTTTACATTAATGCATTATGGGATATTTTGTTTTTGAATAAGTAGCATACTTTGGGCTCACAACTGACATGTGGTCGTAAGTTAAATTTTTCCTCTAGTCACAATGGTTAGGTATGAATGTGAATGACTGCAGAATTAGCCTGAAGCTGATTGCACGACTAGGAATACTTCCGAATGGATTCGAAGTGGTGCAGGACTTCCACACGGATTGGAGGTGGTTGTACATTGTGCAGGAATACTTTAATACAGATTGGAGGTGCTTGGACACTGAGAACAGCTGTTTCTCTATTTAATGACATGCAGTTATTATTATGTATGCCCTGTCTCTTATACACATCTAGATGTGTATAAGAGACAGGCTGTCTCACAAACCATACAACTTTAAGGCAGCAATGAACGTCCTCCAAAACTAGGGAAATGGAGGTTTGGTCAAGAGATGATTCACAAGGAAGTGCCGCACCTTTGCATTGTTTTTGTGGGTCACCTTCTTTTCCTGTTTTCTTTACTTTTACTAAGGCGAGACTTTTTTTTATTCCTTGTTTTATGAACTTATTTTTTTAAAGATTATCAAAGGTGGATGGAAAAAAGATAAAAAATAAAATATTTTTGGCAAAAATGGGGGGGGGGGGGGGGAGAATTTAAAAAAGAAACCTAAGACAGATTAGAAACATTAAAAGTAAAATACATTTGGTCTTCCAACTAATCTAAAATTAAATGATCCAATCTTAAAAAAAAAAAACTTTGTTTGCATGCAAATTTTTGTCAGCTGGTTGCTTAAAGAATGTATCTCTAAAACTTGATTAATGGTAGCAGAGATTTGCTTATCAAGGGGTCGATGACTTGAGGCATCATATATTTACAGTGAAACACTTTGGTTATATAATTATGCAAATAAAACAGTTGAGTAGCAAGCATTGAAATGCTGAAAATGTAAACTACCTTTTATACAAATGAATACAAGATATTGCAATTTGATTACACTAGAAAAGAGTATTAAGTTAACACCATCAACCCTCCTCTGAACATAATACCAAAGCTTAGTAATTACAAGTACAATTCAGAGTATATAAAAATTAAGCCAAACCACAGCCATAAAAAAAATCCCATCCTCACAAATGAAATAGTATTTTGATCAAACCCGGAAATTTATCATATAAAATTGATACTTAAATGCAGTTATTAACTATTTTAATATTTCAATATTAAACTTGGGAATGGTATATATCTCATTAACTGTTGGTGACTCAGTTTACATTAATGCATTATGGGATATTTTGTTTTTGAATAAGTAGCATACTTTGGGCTCACAACTGACATGTGGTCGTAAGTTAAATTTTTCCTCTAGTCACAATGCTTAGGTATGAATGTGAATGACTGCAGAATTAGCCTGAAGCTGATTGCACGACTAGGAATACTTCCGAATGGATTCAAAGTGGTGCAGGACTTCCACACGGATTGGAGGTGGTTGTACATTGTGCAGAAATACTTTAATACAGATTGGAGGTGCTTGGACACTGAGAACAGCTGTTTTTCTATTTAATGACATGCAGTTATTATTATGTATGCCTTGGAATAAGTTACTAGATAAATGACCCATTATAAAATTAATATTTATTATTATTATCCTATTATTACTAGCAGTAGGATGGACAATTAAACAAATTAAAATACATGTCAAGTTAAAAATCTAATAAACATCTATTTACTAATTGCATCATTAATAAATGAGATCCTAATTGTAATTTATAAATGAACACAAAATCCCAAGGTTACCATTAATGTCTAAAGAATTATTAAACATTAATCTGATGAAGAAATTCACAAATCTGATGTTAAATAAGTCAATACTTACATGATTTTGACACTATAAGAATTGATAATGAAATTATTATCAAAACAATATTTAAGTAAAATAATGGTGTTCTGATCAATGACTGTCAATCTCAAAAAATAACATATATAAAAAGTTACTGAATTGAAAAGCTTGTCCAGTCAAACAATTCAATAACAAACTCTCCCCTTCCTAAAAAATGGAATAGTCCATCTAAAGCTGTCCACACTATTAAATTTTGTTTGACAAAAAACTGTTGTATGCCCATATATAGTCATAAAGTGCCTATATATGGTCATGATGTGATGTCATCATGATCATATTTAGGCTTTAATCACAGAAAACTAATAAAAAAATGTTACTTACATGGTATTGAGTTCATCTTGGCGGCGAATCAAAGCGTTCTTTTTATTGACGAGTTCAAACCACTCCTGCATCAGTTGGCCTTCGTCATCGGTACCTATGAAAAACAACAACACTCACGTATCACATCTCTAATCACGTCTATAATCCTCTTAACATGATCATCATCAATCGTTTAGTTTCATTTCAAAAATTAAATTTTCATTGTTTCTCAATATTAATTGTTTTCTATCGCTAAGCTTTTAAGGTGATTAAAAAACGATAATAATTCCTGAGAATAATTCTGTTAAGAAATCTTGTTATGACGATCAGTTTGGGAAAGTGGAGTGAGGTTAGAACAAGGCCAACAATTAAGCGTCCAGACTTACCTCCTTCCATAGCTTTTCTGAGGGCCTTCTCCACGATCCCTGCTCGGTGATCCAGGCCTTTTTGTTCCCTCTCGAGCGCTGCATACTCGCCCATTATGTAATCACTACCTTCCTGCTGAAAAATAATTAATGTTTCATTCTCTTATTTAAATTTTGTTATGTTACAATGTTTTATTTTATATTAAATTGTATAGCAATTTTTGTAATGCATTCATATACAGCCTTTTGGCTGTCCGTTTGTAATTTTTTAGACCCTTGAATAATAATAATAAATAAATAGTTATTACATATAATTCATTATAAAATATACTGTACTTTTATTAAAAAAATATTAATATTTATTCAAAATAATGCTAATCAGTATTATAATTACTAAAATTATTATGGTTTTTAATATTAATAATAATTAATAATATTAATTTTAATATTAGTCAATATAAATAACTTGCAATTACAATTATGTATGATTATTTTTAAAGATAAGAATGAACAGAAAACATACCTGTTCCCAGGGAATCTCTCCTTCAACCACTGATATCCCAACCACTTCCTCAGACTTCTGCGAGTCCTTTTCATTATCATCTTTGGTCGATTCTGTATCTTCCGATTCTTGTTCTCCTGCGGTTTCTTTATATTTTAGGGCAAAAATACCATATATTAAAATCAACACAAATTGACACCCAATCCACAGGAACTACAAACACAACCATGAACATAATACATATGTAAATCAACAGAGTAATATACTTATATGTAAGTTATATACTTTATATAACTATATATGGAAATGATGATGAGAATTCCAACAATATTGAGTACATGCAATGACACATCAGAGCATGGTTCTATACACATTAAATACATTACATTGGCAATCTCCACCAGTGAACAAGCAGGATTAACCCTGTATTTACATCATATATATTAATGAGCCCGCATTATTCTACAAAGGCTGTTTACATATTTTCACTTGCAAAGGGTTTCAGTAACCCATTTGTGTGAGCTGTCAAACAGGAGGTGAAAAAAGAAAAACAAATTTGCAAAAGTGGAAAAAGATGATGACAATACCAAAATGACATAAAGATATATTTATTTAAATAAATTTAAAAAAATACATAAACAAAATTGATGAAAATGGTTGAAATTGTCAATATCATGCTCTATCCATCTTGTTACTGGCAATGTTTGCCCACACTGTCTCAGCTTGAACGTGAATACGGAGGTTTTAGGGTACACATATAATCGCGAGAAGTGTGATACTGTTTCACTAAGCCACTAGCACTAAGTCGTAGACTTGATCTCAAAATAATACTTGTAATGCGAGAATAAACAAATATTTGTAGCAATGGGCACTTTGATTAAAATATTTATTAAAATAATTACATCAGTACATTTTACTAGATCTACACTTTCAAATCAACTTGTAACCTCCTTAACCAATAAATATACAATCGTATGATAGTACTGAACAAATAATCTATACTTCAATCAAATATTATTATTCACATAACATATCATATATTCTAAATGGCTCATATATAAACACTTCATTCAGATTGGCTGAAATGTAGGCCATAACCTAATTTTGATCTTTAAACTTTGACTAAGATGTGTAAAGTGATGTCTTTTACAAGCACATTTAAAGCTATCAATTCTCAAAAAAATGTTTAAGTCTTCAAAGAGTCCCTTAATCTGGGAAGGAGATAGTGATGATGATGATGTTCATAATTACAAAAAATACATGCCAATATTAAAATATACTTCTTATTTCTAAAAAAAAAAAAAAATCTGTTGTTTTTTTTTTTAATATACTTTTTGTTAGAAAGGAATATGATAGAAAGGCATTATGAATGTTTTGACTTTGCTTTTGTTCATCTTCCTCTTAAAATAAAACTTAATAAAATAATTCATAATATAATAATATAATAACATTAACACCACCACCAATAATACAAATAAATAAAATTTCAATGTGCACAGTTTGATTTGTTTGCAGGCTATTATTATATAGCTTGGTCATCAGTACCCATGCTTATGAAAACACATCCTCTATAATTAATCAACATACATTAAAATATAAACTATAAATTATACATAATCAAAATTAGATTTTAAAAAATTAATGCAAAAAGAAAAATATATGTTTAGATTCAAGTTTGCATACATACATACATATTACAATATATGGTACAAGAATAGAAGGGATTACTACAGTAACTGTATACAAATGATCTCTTCCTTTGGTTGGTTTTCAAAGATGTTTAAGTTTGTACTTAAACTCAGAATCAACCACAGATTACACAAAAGTGGTCTGCGAGACGCTACTTGATCGCCCAGAGTCAATAGATTAGACACGTTATTTCCGAAGCAAAATAAAGAGCTACACCGAAGGGGAAAAAAAAATGCAATGGCTTAGCAGTATGCCACGATAAAAAAAAAAAATTAAAGATGTAAGGAGAATAAAGGAGTTGTTAGTAAAAGCATTACCTGGTTTGGGTTTAGGAGGAGCTATGAGATCAGTGAAAGACTGTAAGGACGTTTTCTTTGTCGGTGCCACTTTTTGAGGTAACCCACCTGGGTTCTGCCTTACACCTGTTCACGATAATAAACAAATGATTTCTCAAAAGCATGCTCAGAAAAAAAAAAGATGTTAGATATAAAAAATAACACTTTATAAAACATCTACAAACAAAACATAATATCATTCATAGGTCTGTCGCAGAGGGAAAAAGCAAATATGGGTAAACAGTTATTTACAGTTATCTAAGCTGTCTTTAATCATCTGTATTTTCAATAGTACTACTACTTATGAGTATAAAGGGATGATGAAATTCCAGGGTTTGGTTTCAATGGAATAAAAGCAGGTGTACACATATTCCTTTTTTAAACTAACATGCCTATTTTACTCCACAAAACCAAATTCAATATTTCAGTTTCATGTTTAATTTTTAATTGAAATTATTCAATACCATTTATACTATGCATTAAAACATAAAATTTACTGGTCATCAATTTAAGAATTTTGCAGTAAAATTGTAGTAAAAAGTAGAGTAAATCAGAAGAAATCTTAATTGGTTTTTTTTTTTTTTTTAAATTTGTGGCTCATTTGAAGTTGTATCTTTAAACTATAGATTTTAATACCATTGTGTATTTTCACTGTTTTTAATGTTATTTACAATTACTATTCCCATGGGTTAACAATTGCCTTTATTCTTAGCCTTCTTGCTCCAAGCCCTACCGCTATACATCAGGGACGTCCCAACAAATTCCCTACAAGCTTAAGGGTGTTAAAAGGCCACTTATCTTCTTAAAAAAGAAACCCAAGTATGTTCTTCCTTTCCCTCTGGCTAGTGGTCAGGGTTGTTAACCAAACCCCGATTCATTTTTGACTCTTGTATTATTATCAAAAGACGTTGCTGTGACAGCCTGACCGAGTGTCAAGGCTGCACGTACTTGTTTTTTTTTTTCTATGAAAGAGCTGGTCATTTATGAGAGTGCAATCTTAATAACTGGTCATTTAAAAAAGTACTTCTAAACAAAAATTGTACGTCATCTTTATGTTGGGTCAAGGCTACAAAATAGTAAATCAAGATGCAAATACAATAGAAAACGTAAATTCAATTGCTACGAAAAACGGCATTGTGGTGGAGCAATTGAAGGCAACATAAAAGCACTGATTATTTTAACCACAGCAACAAGTTATGTACAAACCATACATTCCACTATCATCTGTAATTATAGTTTTTTTCTACTTGTGAGGTTATATTAGGTAGATTTTACTTTTCCATTTGATTTAAACAAAATTTCAAATCATTAACCAAGTTTTACAATTGTACAGTTGATTATTGTTATTTGAGATCCATTATTTTACTATTTATGGATAATTAATAATACGGATCTGTATAAAAAATAAAAATTGTTTTACAATAGTTAGAAAGATTTAACAAATGAAATTACAATTAGGAAACACTTAAAAAAAGATCAGATCAATTTTTTCTATACCTGGATAATTATTAGATTAACATGGATTCATACTAAAAAAAAAAAGAGAAATTATGTTTTACAATAGTTAGAAATATTTTAACAAATGAAATAATAATTTGGAGAAAAATTAATAAATTGGTTACATTAAATTCTGCAGCAGTCCATTAGACCTAATAAAAAAAAATCATGTTTCTTGTCCTACCATCTTCCTGTTTGTAACCCATCTATTTTTAAAATTCGTTATTATATTTAAAAAAATGATAACACTCAATTAATAAATCTTATTTCACTCATACATAATATTTACGGTATATTTTAGAATAAAAAGGTGAGTGATTAGCCCTTGCTATATTTGGATTAATTTTCTTTTAAATATGCATAATTGATTAATTTGTGACAGTGGCAGTCATAACTGTGGTATTAAGTGCTTCCTACTATTATTTTTTAATGTTCCAATGAGAAACATATCATTTTTGTTATGTGGCCTAAAATACCTATAAATCTGAGGAAAAAGTTATATAACTAACGAGTATATTGAAAATTAAAAGCGCAATATTGAAAGGCAAAGACCGAAAGGAGGTTGTTTTACTTCAATTGGTACTGCCTGTACTAGTTGAAATACAATTCAAAACAATATATTTTTAGAATATTCCTTTCTGGTTAATTTATTGTAAATTGAGTAGCAGTTGATTCATTGTTAGAATGATTTTGTCAAAACTACTGAGCGTGAAATGTTCACATAGACACACACGAGTGGCATTTTGACTGTGCAGTGATGTAAGTACTTAGACATGGAATACACACGCTCTCACATACCGAGCACACGTGGCATTTTGAGCACTTAAAAAAGTGATAGCATGAAAAATACACGCGTTTAAACCTACACGTGCTGTTTTCACTCTTGTGATGTTATGAGTATACATTTACATAAGAACTGCACACATATTTCCACACATGCATTGCAATTTTACTGCATGATGATGTAAGTATAAATGAAAAACAATACAGTACATATCATAGTATTTTTACTATGTAATGTTAAAATCAATGGCACATCTAGAGGTACTGTATGGATATACAAGATTTAATGGGGGAGGGGATACACAATGAAAAAGAGAGGGGAACTAGGTCGGGAATGAAGTGATATAAGGGTGATTTTTGTAATTACTTTAGTGTACTATATTTTGTTGCAAGTTTTAAGTGGAAAACACCTTGGAAGCTAATATTTATTCTTGAGGGGGGAAGGGCTTGCACCCCAATTCCACCTATATATATGCCACTGATTGTCAGCATACATAATAAAAAAAAAAATACAAACACGCACACTTACACCTATCGTTGTACTATAGTAATACATTCACCATGTATTATCATTATTCTTAATATTTTAACTCACACTGCAGATGATGCAAAATCAAGAAAGAAATTCTTATGTTGACTTTGTTAGTGCTACATTTCTATAAAGCAGTGTTAGTATGAACACACAGACATAAAAATGGGAAGTGAGTAGTTGTACTGTAAAGAATTTCACAATAGGAACAGACTTAAATGGAATATGACAATGTGATGACAACATTAGTGATGACATCTTACCGAATTGAAACACCTTGTAACGAGAACCTGCCATTGATTGGAAAAACAAGAATGAAAAGAGGAAAGAAAATAAACTACAGAGTGAATACGATGGATTATTAAGACAAGAAATTTTGAGGAAAAATTACAATGCAGATCTGTTATAAGCATGTAAGATTATGTAATTGATAGAAATTTCTAACTGGGACTATTTCCTAATAAATAATAAAAGTAAAAACAAATAATACTGATAGTTATAATAATGATTATCATTATGAAAATGATTACCACTATACCTGAAATAGGAAAATCTTGTACGTTTGTGTAGGATTATCATGCGTACCATGTAACATTTTGTCTCAACTGAAATGGTTTTAAGTCAACTCATTCTTTTGATTGTGCCCTACTTACTGGGATTAAGTGGGTTATATGGTTTTTATTTGTATTGTATCCAGCAGTTTAAAAAACTTCACACTATACACACAATCTTATATTCCTTATTTTAGAGTCATCAACAAAATAAATGACTGTTTGTATATGACTAACATAATAAGACCACGCTAGAAAGAGTACACCAAACCTTTCTGTTAGCATTTCCACTGTCAAATATATGTAATATACAACCTTTGCTACCAATTATTATTATTTTTGTATGTGTGTTTGAAGCCAATTGAGGCGAGAAGTTCATTGGCACAGTAGTGTATGGGCATTGAAATTAGACAGTACCTGAATCGGACTGCGTGAAGCTTAGCAAAACATTGCCAAGAGCTGCTAACCAGCACAACAATTGCGGCTGAAGTTGCCATTGCTTCTTGCGCTACTTTTCTGGGGTCGCTTTGAATGGGATGTGTTAATTGAAAAAGAGAGTTACTGTTGGGCCTAAGTATAGTGAAAAGTTTGCTCTAGGGTATAAAGGGGGGAGACAATTGTGAGTGGAGAGGTTGGATCCAACAAGCCGTGAAAACGGTAAAAAAACACAAACTTGTTTAAATGTTCAATTAAGAGGAAAATTAGTTTTGCTAGACTAAATATGTAAGGTCATCTTGATATGACATTTTAACAAATTTTAAAATATAAAATCAAATATGTTTTTCATAACACAGGTCAAATAATATTAACTAACAAATACACAAATACATCTTTTTCATGGCAGTGATTGGTCTTGCCATGATCAAGTATAAATTATATATGATAAGTTAAAAAAGTGTGAATTAACTTCTGTCATTCATTTTGATAAACTTTTTTTTTTTATGAAAGATACACCTTTTTTATTATATTTATATGGCATTTGATTCGTACGTATTAAATAAATTTACATTTATATTTATTATATTCATTTAATAAATAAGTTTTATTTATAATTCATTCTAATTCATTTTAATAAATCATTAACTATATAATAAGCTACAATAGTACTTCAACAATTATTAAGAGATAGATAATGCTATTATTGAAATTTAGAATTAATTACTAAATTGATTTTAAAACTTTATTATTGCAGTGGCTTATTCTATACTTATCATTTATAAATACAGTAAATATAATGGGCAATCACTTTACAAAAATATTAACAGATAAATACTACTTTCTTTTTTGCAATGTTATTTGGAGTAGTTTATTCTCTAGTCATCATGGCATTGTATAAAGATATCAAAGCATATTAGAAAATCAGAAAAAGTCAATTTCTGCATGAATGATCACCAGCGCTGCGATAAATCATTAGCTAACGTCGATACAAGCTTAATTTACAAGACTGCATAAAAATCAGAAGCCAAGTGTAGAATTTGACTTAAGGGGTTGCCTCGAGGAAGAGAATCTTTGTCACCTCACATTTAGATCCTTATAACATTCTACTAATTACTTTAACATAATACACTCCATTCTTTTTTTGCCAGTGCTCTTCCCTTGAGTTTTATGTTTTGTTTGGGTTTTTCTATGTAAAGATCAAAGGATCATATTCTGCCATACAATTAAATTGATGGCAAAATGACGGAAATTATCTGTGATACTTGAAAAAAAGCTGTGAAATGGTGATTAGTGTATCGTGTACGTATGTGTATTTGCAAAAGGGCAGTGAAGTTACAACGAGCATCTTTCTTTGAATCACATTTACATATAGATAAAATTGATTAATTGACAACACTGTTGCCTAAGAGAAGATTTGTGGATCACAATTTACGATGTTGAAATTATCGCAAATTATGATGCATATTTGCATCGCTTGAAGTTATCTTTTTACATAATATTTATCAGGATATACTTACAGAAGTGTTATCATATTCTTTGGTGGTTTATTATAGTTTTCATTTAGGTATTTGCCAGGTTCCTTCTTAACAATTTAAGGACTTTTATAAATTTTATTTTATAAAAACATGGCATGCCTAAATATGGTCATAATGACATCACATCATGAACACATATAGGCACATCAAGGCTATATACAGGTATAAGACTTTTTAACTTGTGGAGGGTCAATCGACAAAGTTTTTGCTTAGAATGTTCGGAGGCATTTCGACCCAAATAACTTAAGACTTGATAATAGAAAGTAAGTAAATTTTGAATTACTTTACAGTATATCTTTTTTTTTGGGTCAAAATACAATCTAAACAAAAACAGCATCTTTTTAACAATGCTTTGATTTTATTTGGTTTAATTTGGTATATTGGTTATTATTTATACACAAAATATAATTGTAAGGATTAGATAAATGAAAGAAAACCTGTATTTAATACACTTTATGATACATTCAGACTATTAGTGTTATATACTCGGCTTAGCAATATATTGGTAATATTGTGGCAATAACATAATTCCAAATTCATGTTCAGCTTAACTTGGGGAAACATTAAGATTTATTAGAAAGAAACGGTTAGTAAAACTTAAGTATATTTATGTTTAGATGATAAAGTTTTCATTATTAACTGATATGGTTGGTTCAATTTCTTCAGTTGGACACATGAATGTTTGAAGACTTGTTTCTAGTAGTGGGTTCATCCTGGTGGTAAAGAGAGGGGTTGAGTGGACAAGGAGTAGACCATTAAAAAGCCTACAGTACTACCCGAATCCCACCCAGAGTTGCTTAACTTCAGTGATCTGATGAAAACCAGTACTGCATATGTGGTATAGTCATAGGCTGAATAAAACTAACTACTGTAACTTACTACTGTATAACAAAGAAGAAATTAATCTAAGAAAAAGAAGTAAAAAACCTCTCAAAACAGGTCCCTTTTTAAAATAACAGTTAAATATTCTACATTCTATATTTTGTTTTTGTCTTCGTATGTAAGCTACACATTTAACTACTGGAAAGGAGATCACAGAAAATTGTTAAATAAAAAACAAAAAATAATATATTTTAATTATATTTGACTTACCTAGAGAGTTTCCACTGGCTGTGATCTCCTCTATATGTGGAGACTCCGGTCGGTTTAGGTTTTTCCTCGTATCCGCAATCAGTTGTTTTGCTCGCTGTTTTAGATTAGCCTTCCGTATGGATTCAGCCTATGTTATAATTTTTCATTAAACATGATCAATTTAGAAAAAGAAAAGGAAAATGATAGTTGTAAATATTCTAAAAGGCTATGCAGTTATTAGACTTATCAGTATGATAATTTTAATATTGCACCACTTAGAGTGCAAGTTGGAATGTCTTAGCATGGCCAGAATTTTCATGCAAACTCTTCACCACATCTTAAATCAACCAAAGGATTCATCATGATCTAATTAAAAAGACAATGAAGACTGTCCACTTTCAGTTATACAATGTTAACGAAAACAATGGCTTAGTTAACACCATAATTACTGTTATCAACCACTTTATACTTAAGATTTTTAAAACTAGTAGAAACTGATCTATCTTAATACAGTTAACTTCTTTAACAAGTGGGTTAAGAAGAGGAATCCTTGGATTACAGGTAATCCATGGATAATCATAAGATACCTGTTCTGTTATAAACAGCCTTTTTTTAGCTATATAATAGATGGTTATAATTAACAGTTTAACATAGCTAGAGCAACATAATGTTACACAGCTTAAAGAAATAAGGGGAAAAAACACTTTGAACTCAACTTGAAGAAGTTACCAGAATACAAAATCATTTGTAATTTTATCTTGGGCAACTATCAAGCCTGTAACACACTAATGTTGAACTATATACCTGTTTTGCACTTGTAACCTCAACATACACCTCTTCACCAACACTTAAGAATAATCTACCAACACTTGTAAACTTATATATCACAACAGTCCACAGACATTTGCTTGAGTACTCACTCAATATCCTACATTAAACCCTGTATCAGATAGAACCTTGTACTTGCAACCCTAAAAACACTCCATCAAAACACTCTTAACGTGTCATTACACAATCAAAATTCAATATAACATCTTCGCAAGTTGAGCAGTTTTATAACCCATCATATACAGAAAGCCCTGACAAAAACCTTATAGACTATTGTTAAGTGATCTGTGAGCGACAAAAAATGGTTCTGGTACTCACATCAGCAGGGTCTTCATCAGGAGTCTTCAAGGCTCCATCGTTGTTGCGGATAATCTTCGCATTTGCCTCCTTACGGGCTTGTTCCAGTAACTTCCGAGCCCGTAATTGTAATTGCTCCCTTCGTGATAAGTTTTGCTGTTTGAACAACATAAAAAAACACAAGATTTTTCAAACAATATGAACATTCCATTACAATTGAAATTGTGTGTCGTCGTGAATAAGAAAAAATGCATGATTTAACATTCCGCTTGGGTTGAATTCCTGTTCATTTATCCAACGGCAGAAAATGTATCTTGACAGGTTAGTTTTCAAAACAAAAATCTTCATTTAAATCAATTCCAAACGTTCTCAAATATAAGAATATTGACATATAAGAGACCTGTAACGGACACAAAGTTACACATTTGCATTCAAACACAACTGCTAAGCATTTCATGTCATTTTCTTTTATAAGCAGATATCCAGACTCGAAACAAAATCGTCTTACATAGAGGATACAGAGAAGTTGAATTTGGTAGCAAAGCAGATTTTCTTAAGATCTTTCCCCTCTGCTTAATTTACATAGAATATGATCAGATTATAATACGTGCAGATAATACCATGGAAAGCAAAATAGCCTGTGTGCGGATAATCCTTGATAATCAACACACATTCTCCAATTCATATTTGGGATTTTCTATTGACGTTAAGACTTTAAGTAGAATTAAACATTTATAAGATTTTAAATATGCAGTAAAACGAAATCAGCTTAACATGTCTAAGTCTATAACAAACTATAAAAACAGGCAAATTGATATGGATTGTGCTCAATGGATTTTAGTCTACACATGTGGATGTAATCTGGTTATGGCTTCCACATTCTAATAAAGACCTGCAGATTGATAAAATGAAGGCAATCAAATACAAATCAAGATGTTTGTTATCCAATGTCATTTTTGGGTGAAATTTGAAAGTATTGGCAATGTGCTTTAGATAATTCATACTACATGCTCTTTTTGTTTTTGAATACTGTGGTTATGGTATACATTAGATCATATTTATTGCCTAAACAGATTACACCATTACATTGTCTTTTATAATACAAGTCAATTGTGTCATTATCTCTTTAACTCCCAATGTTATTTTTCTATCCCAAACCATGCACAAATGATCCCAAACCATGCAATAATTTTTCATTAGTGCATGTTCTGCTTGACCCTTTTCACTTTGTGTGCAAAACAACTTGTAAAATGTATTGCACACTGCAATGAATATTCTAAGCTTGAGGGTGGGAGAGGACAACATATGTGGTCCACCCTGTTTTCACTATTAGCGAAGAACATGTTATATCGTCATTGCGGACTTATAAAATCCGCATATACTATAAAACTAAAAGAAAATGCATACTTTTGGAGTCCGTACTGAGCCCAAAAAATCCGCAATGAAAATATAACGTGTTGAAAACAAATGTGATCAAATGAGTATATCACTGCAGCAACACTAAGAGACCCTAAAAAACATCCAAATATTGACAGGCATCTCCGACCTAGTACACCCTTTTTTCATGTCAGAATTAAACTTCATAATATTTTCTAAATTCAAAAAGGTCTATATATTGTATCTTTTCTCCTCTGGCTAAAGCACATATTTTACATCTGTTTTTTTTAATGAATAAAACTATTCACATTTATAAAATACAAATACACTAAAATCCAATATAGTGAATTGAGATTTTAATGATTGTAATTTATATAATAATTATAATATCCAAAGACGATTTCATAAATTAAAATGATTAAAATTTTATTTAATGTAGTAAGAGAAATAATACTAAGAAATAATTCATATTTTTAACTATTATTTTTAAAGATTAAAACCAATAACCACAATTACATGATTTCCAACACAGGTATTAAAAAAAAAATGTTAATGTTAAATAAAAATCATACAATTGCTTTCATAGTAGTCCGGATTAAAAATGATACACAATGATAAACTTTAAATTTCCAAAGTTAAATTTCAATCAGATGCCATACTATCACTTTTTTCTATGATCCATGGTTCTCTGCAATGAGAATTTTTGATGATTACTGGTGCAATTAATGCATAATATTATCATTAAACTAAATATTTTAAAATTTTCCAAATTGCAGAAATAATTTTAACCCATAATTTTCTTGAATCATCTTGTCTTAAACCATTAAATCTACTCGCTGTAGTACACGTACTGACCTACTGTCAACCGAACTCAGATACGAAGCTTACAATATACTTAAAACCATGATAATTATTTAACTACAATTGCTCAGGATTTAGGTTGAGTTCCTTGGACTCGCCAAACCAGATATTATAACTCTTACAAATTAAACCCATCTGTGTCAACCTTAATAAAAAATGTTACAAAATATATAATACCAAAGAACTATAGTTTTTAAATATTATTATGGTAATTAATAATTTTATATCCAGTATTATTCAATTCAATTAAACTTTAATGCCCATTGTAATAGCAAATTCACCTTCATGATAACAAGCATTGCACGTAAGATTGAGAACAAAAAAATATAAAAAATACAATTACAAAAAAAAAAAAAAAAAAAAATTATTTGAATTTCAACCACCTTCTTTCGACATAACCATAGATATCAAATTTTGTATTCTTAATATGTTGAATTATTTATATAATAATTCATAAATTAAAAAAAAAGAACATTGAACCTGCCATGTATCACATAATGTCTGGTGTTACATCTTGAAAGATTCAATTAAAAATATTGCATTACTCATTAAAGATGATTGAATGAAGTAATTGACTTCTACACAGTATAAAGAAAAAATTTCTTTTTGCTAATTTCCAGGATCACTACAAAAAAAAAAAAAAGAAAATTGTCTGCCAGAGCCTTGCAAAGAATATTTACATTATTATTTATGCATCAGTTGTATCTCATTCTTAGTTTCAACTTATAGTACATATAAATATAGAACTGAGCAATTAAAATATCAAATTTATTACCTCAACAAATCTCTAAAAAAAACCCATTTTAATTCTTTGTTTAATATAATTACAAAGATGAAGAGTAGAGTATTTGCAGTAGATTATCAAATAGCAAACCGGCATTGTAATTGGAACAATCAAAATCATAAACGACGATCCCCGATGCTCCGAATGTCCTCGAGAGATAGCAGTTGCCTAAAAAGTTCAAGTTACATTATTACATTAATCTAGCGCGCATCGCAAACTCTGATGAGAAATTAAATCAGCAAATTAATCAAGCTGATGGAGGGTAAATTTGTTTTGGTAGTAAATTTAAGGCGAATTCATACTTAACGGCTTTCTGTGTCTCCTCGACATTCTCACACCTAAATTATTCTTGCCAGATTGAGATTACAGGCTCGCAAAGGAGCTTAGTGACAAGAAGACTGATTGCCGAAAAATGCACGAGATTTAGTTGATGAAACACGTGAAGTGGTACTTGTACCTACAAGTGATTCGTAATCGAACGAGAGTCAACATATTCCTAATCCTGATGCATGTTTTGCAATGATCAATGTCGATTTTTGATCAAAACATTGTAATTTGTAATAGCATTGATGTTTTTATGTTCAATTCATTTATGATTTATCGCCTATAGGAGACTCTTTACTGAATCTGTATTCATTTTATAATGATGTAATGTCATATATTTATCAAAAACCATGCTTGGTTATTCTGTCATCAATATTTTTTCTTCAAGATTTATTATTACGGTAATTTCTTCATGGAAATTAATTTTTCCTGATGTATTTCCTTGCTAATGTTTATTTGCTTATAAGTACTGGAACCAAACTTTCAGGAATAAGGGAATAGAGCAATGATATTCAATCATTTCACTGAAATAGGAAGTTTAATAATTTATTGAGCTATTTAAAAAGACCAGCACTTTAACCAATCTAATATTTTATCCAAATTATTTATTAACTTTGATTTATGTTATCCATGTTATTTGTAACATTTACAATTACTTTAATGATAGATTTTTAAATTTTTCATTTGTACTTGTGAATGGGTATTATTTTTTATTTATTTGTGTGTAATTATGGTATCTATATTTTGTGCTTTTATATCAATTTCTATACCCAAATGTATTCTAGTTGAGAAAAATCTTAGTAATAGCCTAATTTCTGTTGTTTCTTTCAATAGGCCTACCTTGTATTGTCTTTGTAGTTTGCATCAATGCCATTATATTTTTATAAATAAAATGAAAGGAATTTGAACGTGTGAACCAGTTTAGAAAATTAGGTCAACAAAATCAATTTTGATATTGTATGAAATTGAAACTTTTGTTCATACATAATCTATTAATAAAAAAAGCTGAATTGGCCATAACATGGTACAATAATATTGTATGACGATTCATACAACATTGTTTACATATTAGGCTACTCTGCATTAACAAAGGTACATTTTAACCAAAACAAAAAGTGGTACAATTATGCAGTTAAACTAACCATTCAAATAAGCATTACGGTAAATCTAATGCAAACCTAACTCCTGTGGCACGCAATTTTAATGTGCACAAATTGTTGTTTCTTACCGAGATGTAAGAAAGGTTGCTTAATGGAATTCTTGTTAATGGAAAACATAAACATTAAGCCTAAAACAACTTAATATTAAAAGTCATCCTGTGTCTAGACTATTTTCACTCTGTGTTTGTATTATAGGTTGAGGTCGAAGTTTGTTCATGCATTTCATGTGCAAATTTGCACTGAGCGTATCTAGTTTGCAATACTTAATCCTGAAAATGCAAAATGTGTTAAATTGCATTAGCTAAATATTTTAATTTCCAATTTATTAAAGATACGAAATAATAAAAATTCAGAAAAAACAATCACAACAATGACTTCGACTGTAGCGGGAAAAGGCAAATGCTAAGAACAGGAGGCTTGAAGAACGGAGATGAATTGGAGATGGACTGTTGATATCTCAACTGCCAAAAAAGAGTCCCACCGATACTTCCATTGTTATACTATATCAATTTCACTTCCTACAGTAGTTATTAATAGGAACAATATGAGGATCAACAACACAGCTTAATAATCATAACACTAACCACACCATTCTATCAATGAAAAATCTAATTTGATTTAAAAGCTTTTCTTTATCACAAGAACCCGAAATGACTGCAGGGCGGATATATAATTGTAAATTGGTGTCTAATTGTAATGAAGTGTGTAATATTCGAGATTGAATTGATTGAAGTACGGTTATCACACTAAATTATGCACTTTATTTTGATCATTTTAATGGTCGAATTTTCAGCAGAAGATCTAAGCAAGTAATAAGTGGATTTTAACAAAGCCTTGAATATATTTAAACAGTTGGAAGTCTCTAACCACAACATTTACAAATAATATAATTATTTTAATTGTGCATCTGATTACTAAATGCCAAATAAAAGGATTAGAGTTGTCAAGAGGAAACAACAATTTTAATAATCCTTTTAAAGAATATATTTCCTTTATGAAATAAATTTTTGAATTATTATAATCATTAATATTAATGCTTGACATAATGAACAGTGATGTATAGATTATCAGTGTAATGCAGCTGTAGATTAGTGAAGACTCCCCAAGTCCTATGTTCAACACCTGTCAATATTAAAAAACCTATGGTACATACCCAGTATACAAGAAAATATTTTTATTCCCAATAATCTGTTATTTTCTCCAGTTTTGATTTGTTTACAAACATTGCTACGGCAACTATGATGGTAGCATGCATGTATGTAGGGCATTCATTTATTAAAAAAGTTTTAATGACTGTTCTAATAATTTGATAATAACTTTGGTAGAAAAATACAAAACCATTAATTGTATTAAATATAATCAGTGATATTATAATTAATTGTTAGTTTTATCATTATTATTTATATTTTTTATTACGATTTATTTTTGAGTTCCATTTGTTGATTGCAGTGAGAAACTACATTTTGTTGCATACACCACAAAATCTGGTCAGGCTACTGGTTAGTAATGGGACAAAATCTGTATTGTGACGGTATGCACACAATAGAACCTTGCGCGCAAAGAAATGAAACACTCTGCCATGGTTGAAAGGAAGAGCATAAATGGGCATGTAGTGTTAAAAACATGCCTTTTTCATCAACAGAAATTCCTCTGGTACAAAAATTGGCCCACTTTGTGTTCAATGGGGTTGGCTTGTAGCACAGGAACTATGATGTATATATATATTTAATATCATTATTACCTCATGTACAAATAAAATTCAAAATTCAAGTAGATAATGATATTGTACACCTACCTCTGGTATATCTTCTTCATTTTCTTCTTGTTTGTCTTCAATTTCCGGTATTTCCTCCTTTACTTCTTTATCAACATTCTCCTTGTCATTATTTTCACTAGTTCTTTCAATATCTGTTTTTTCTTCCTGGTTACTATCCTCTAGTGTTGTAGCTAACTTATCTACAGTGGGATCTGCCTTTATTTTGTCCCTAGAGCCTTGCTTAATTATTTTACGACTATGGTTATTACGCGATATTTTCCTTTCAACAATGCTTTGGTTTCCATGATTATCCTTTTCAATTGCCTCGTTTTCTGAGTCGGGTGAGCCACTTGTGCTTAATTTTTTCACATGATTTTCGTTGGGACTAATTCCATTGGAATCTGGTGTTCCAGGAGTTGCAGGCGTTTCAGGTATAGTTATATCCTGCAAGTTCCGCGCCTCCTGTTCAAAAACGTTTTCGGTTATCTTCCCTTCATTATCCGTGCTAAATTTGCCCACAATGTACGTACTCTTTCTTGAAGTATCTCCTATACTTCGCACTTGCATTTCTTGTCCCGTAAAATGAGCACGCATTTGAAACAAGTAGGTGGTTACAGCTAATTTGTCAGGGACAGAGCGTAACACCATGTCTTGCGGTTCCATTAGCTTAGGAATTCCTATTGATGCGGCAGAATCAAATGCCTACAAGACAATAATAATTTCAGAGTTCGATTATTTTTTCTTTTGCGGAATAACATGAAAAAATTACCTATCAACCTTTATTCAATTTATAATTTGTTAATTTATATATTTATTTTCATCAGTACATAAAGAATAATAGTTACTCAGATTCAAATTCTTTATTAAATAAGGGAGTAAATTTGTGAATTATTTTTTGCAAATTGAAAGTATGATATAACAATTTCTAAACAAAACTTAAACAGTGGAGTACTAATGTATTTACCTTTTTACAATTGCCTTTAATGTCGTGAGGAGATAGAGATTCAAAATCGCTGCAAGAGAAAAATAATAAATAATACAGATAATCCAATAGGATTTGTTAGATAATTACCAATATAAATTATGAAAATAGTAATATTCATCAATCAATTTAAAGAAAGTATAGTCAAAATGTGGAAAATTATTGTCAAAAATAAAGAGTTTGATTGATTCTGCAATATCAACATTCCACCTACTAAATTTAAATGGTAAATTAACACCTGAATTAAAAATAGCAATTTTTACTCAAAGATGACAGATAGAGATAAAGAAAGCTTCAAAAAACTTTTTTTTTTTAGGTACCAATATAACTTAAAACGGAAATTGGCCAATACACTTCTTATATTATATTTTTACAACTTCATCTTCTTCTTTTTTTTTTTTTTTTTTTTTCTTTTTTTTTTTTTTTGAAGTCAAAAAACTGTTTTTCTTATTTGTCCACTGGCTTTACATATGTGGCAAAGCTAAGTTAAACCAGTCACTTGTCACAAAAAATTGACTTTTAGTTAATCCGACATTTTGGTATGAAGTTACTAGCATTAAAACATACAGCTGTTTAATGAACAATATTTGAGAAATCAGCCTTCAAAGTTTATGATTTCCGAGTCAGGCATTTCTGAGGCAGACACCATCACAAAATCTTTTAAAATTGTTGTTTTAACATTGAAAATCGGGAAAATAGCAGCACAGCATGATATATAAATATATACAGGTTAGTTTAGTGCAATAAAATAGATTTAAAAAAAACAAAAAAAACTGACATTCCAGCATGTTTTGGCCATTATCTCTGAAACTGGATTTGCGATGAGTGACTGGTTTTGGCTTGTCTTTGCCACATATAGAGTACGACTTACATGAGTTCTGGATGAAAATGATGCAGTATAGCACAGAAAGCCATTCCATTTCGCCATGAAGTTGTCAAATTTGTAATTTTCACACCTTTATAATCCTTGGTCGCATTTCTACACCATTCTAGCAGCTCTTGGCTGGGGGCAGACTTCTTGCCTTTACTAACCTTTCGAGGTGGCTGATGAAAACAAAAATGATCATCTGAAATTAACTTTCGATGTCATAAATATTTTGATTACTGCACATTTTTTAGTGGATTCATCATCTGCTTCAGCAGACTGAACACAGATGTTTCAACTTATGGTCAGTAAACTTTTTGATTAATGGTGCAGAAAGAGAACATTTAATAATCATTGCCAAATAGGCTGAATTAACTCACTTGGCACATCACCAGATAAGTCTCTGGTTTGAATCCTGCAAGAGTTCATGTATTATATTATCTTAAATGTTTGATCCATTATAAAGAGGTTGAGCCATCTAGAGAAATCTTCACAATAAACACACTAAAATTTAGTAATTATCAAATTGCTTTTTCAGGCTAGAGCATGGACAGGCAAAGTGCGGCTTGTGGTGGGCCACATGCGCCCAAACAGCAAATTTGTTGCGGCCCGCGACAATGTCTGCCTACCATCTTTGTCTAGAAAATGGATGAATATCTAAATTCTAAGGATAAAGCAGTATAAAAGCAGAGCATGGAATTTTTTCTTAACGAAAATTCACTTAGGCCCTCCAAACCCATTTTTATGCCCACCCCTGCTCTAGAGGAATAGTGAAAATATTTTGTTTATCATTATGAAAAAATTATGATCACAAAAATTGGTTATCTAGTATGAATTGAACCACTGCTATTAGGAGGAGGCAAGTTCATTCTATTAATCATTAAAACCACAATAACACAGACACAAACCTCTGATACTTGACTGATTACTTGTTGAGGTGGTTTTTCAATTTGACTACTAAAAGAGACTGGTTGTTTTGTAAGTTCAAGTTGTAGTTTAGGTTCTGGATGAATGACATCCAGACTACCCCCAGCTGGGGGTGAATCTTTTCTTTTCCTATATCTGGGTCTTGCTTCCGTTGGTGTTCTGAAACGAGAAACAACATCGCTTACAGTTCCATGAAGTACAACAAGTATCTGAGAGATAATTCTCCTGCTTCTTTTGATGAAGACGTCGGGTTCAAACACAGGTAGCACTAGGTTTTAATTGGATGATGGCTCAGCTCCTCAAATAAATCTCACATAAGAGTAAAGGCAGGATAAGATAACATGCATCCATTACACGTTAGCACTGTTGTAGCACAGTGGCTGCCGTAGGTTCCCAGAAGGCTAACCAAATTCCCACAAAGAAACAACATGTCACTTATAGTTTTATGAAGTACAACAGAGACAGAAGTCATCAGCTTCCTGAGATAATGCTCCTGCTTCTTTTGCTGAAGACCCACACACACAGGTAGCATCAGGACTATGATGGCTCAGCTCCATGAAAAACCCTCGAATAAGAGTAATGCATGATAAGGAAACATGCATCTGTTACACTCTGATACTAGTGTTGAACTGTGGTTGCCACAGGTTCCCAGACACCCAAACAAATTTCCAATTAGAATTTGTTAATAAAAAAAATAAAACAAATTAACCATGCCATTATAAAGCTACTTACAACAATTGTTGAATGTCAGGGCTGTGGTGGGTTTGCTTTGTTTCTTTAGTGTCTCTGTGAAGTATTACATTTGATTTTATAGTAAATATTTAGAACATGACATTAGTGTTTAAAAGGAATCAGTTTCTTCATTTTTTTTGGCGGATTAGGCCTGAACTTGTACCTCAAATCTTTGTATCGGGAGACAAGCTTACTGCGGTGGTGCATGCCTTTACACAAGATGGAGATAATGGAGATGATATGAATGACGATGATGATGAGGAAGTAAATTAATGATAGCCATGCTGAGGATGAAGATGATGATGAAGGTGACAATGACAACCATGATGATGATGATGATGATGATGATGATGATGAAGTTGATGATGATGACGATGATGATGATGATGATGAAGACAACACAGATGATAATGATGATGATATTAATAGTGATTTGTTGAATATATTGTACCTTTGATGAGGTAGAAAACCTAAAAAATTAAATTTAATATTTATATTGCTTACTTAGAATTTTATTAGCATTTAATTGGAAATTCGAAAATAAATTAAGGATTTCTGTAGTAAAAGGTCTGCACATTAGCAAAAACCTGGATTTATCAGGATATTGTCAGAAGTTATAACTTATTTAATCATTCAAAATAGCTTTCAAGTTTTAAGTAAGTTTGTTTATGGATTTCAATATTTTATTGCCAACTATATTTTTCATAATGATGATGACGGTGGTGAAAAAAAAATGGTAATGATTCTTTATATTTAATTTTCAAAAGTCATATTTTGAAACAACTATGAATGCTTACAAATCCTGGTCCTCTGGAGTTGTGCTGTTATCTCCATTACTGTCTTCAACTTTATCCTCTCCATTGCAAGTTTCTAGTGCTTCTAGTGGATCATCAAACTCTGTTGTAAAGTCATCATCAAAGTAGCCATCTAAGAAAAACCAATCACCCAAGTATTACTTTACTATTAGATAAACGTTTTAAAATTTGCATATACAGTAGATATTTTTATCCAATTTCCTATAGAAGCCAAAATGCGATTTTATGAATATATTATATTTATTAGTAATCAAAATAATGAATATCATAAATTAATATACTGTATTCATAAAATGTTTCAATATATTAATTAATTAAATCATAAAAAAGATATGATTAATAAATATAATATATAAATGCAAATATATGAATACATTGTATATTTACTATCAAAAAAAATGATAAATAAAATAATTAAAATATATTGATGATTATGACAAGCAATTATTTCAACAGAGAAAAATAAATAAATTTATATGATGTAGCTTATAGTTTAAAATAATGATAGGGATACAATTATGAAAAAGAAAAATTCCCCAAGAAAATGTCAAAGAATTATAAAAATGAATCAAAGAATAAAAAAATCACTTCATGTTAATATTTATAAGACATTAAAAAGCCCACATGAAGTAGTACAAAATATATAGAATATAATTTATATGAAAACATAGATTTCTAAATAGTAACTTATATTTCAATTTAAGTACTGGTATTATAATGAAGATAAAAGCAACCTACTATAATTAATATATAAATAGTAATATATTAAATTTTACCGTAAAATATAATCTGGTACAATTTACTAATATAACTTATGCCACTTTTAATTATTTCAACTTATTTGACTTTTTCAAGTTATTTTAACTTGTGTAACTGTAAGTATTTATCTCGTCTTTCAATGGTAGTTTCTAAGTACTTTTGCAAAGGATAATATAATTTAGAATCAAAATAATACTCAATGAAACAATTCAATTAACCTGTTTAAATATAAAGGAAGAATACAATGTAATATTATATAACAAAATATAAACCGCTAAGTATGATTTCTGACTAATAGCATATTTTTGAAATAAAACACTGCTTTTGAACGAAAGACGCATAGTGGGTAACTTAGCAACAATTACTGACAATACTAAACAATATACTGCTAACAAAAAAATCAAGACAGTACCTCAGCAATTTACACACACTTTGAATTACTCATTTAAGGGAACCACAGAAGGTTACCAGCATTCAATAAGCAAGAAATTTAAAAAAAACAAACAAAAAACAAAAAAAAACCCCATAGCTTGCAATGATTTAAATAATTTACTACAAAAACCTTAAATTTTCTGCCACAATTTTTAATCTGAAAAAAACTTAAAAGAAATTATATATTATTTAAATGCTTGTAAATTAGCTAACAGCATTTTTTTTTTTTTTTTTTTTTTTTTTAATTTTTACTGAAATCTAAAACTTTATTAAATATTAATCAGTCATTCATTGTTCAATTTAAAGTTTATGAGATTTAGGTGGCAGATATCTAAAAAAAATTGTAGAAAAATTAACTGGTAAATCATTTCAAAGATATTTCATGCAATATTAGAGGATACGATAACTTGGTAATACACCATGCAAGGAAAATAAATGTTTATATAAATCAGTCTGATGTTTTTATTTCTGCTTTAGCATTTAAAAAAATATATATCAATTAACTAAAATCATTCATAATTACATATTTGCCTCATCAAATAATATAATATTGAAAAGGATATGATTAATAATTTATCTATGAAGTGATGAGGATTAAACTTGGCAAGAATTAATTCTAAGGTAGAACTTTTTATTCCCATAAATTGTTGTGGCATGCAAAATCTATGATGAGTTTATTGATAGCAGTGTCAACAGAAACACTTAATCTTTAGATTCATTCCTCATTCCAAACACTACATTCACTTCTTTAAGATCCTCCTTAACTATCTCCTAACTGGATTTAACACGATAAACCTTCAAATCTGCCATTAAGGCGTGGGTTGAAGACAATTGAAACAGCACGGAGATCACATAGTGATTTGGTGTTGCGTGTGCTGTGCGGCACATTATCTTTCAATCATATTCATGGACCCCCAGGAAATTTGAAGATGATTGCCGAGTAAAGATTGACCATTGTGCCTCACGATCCTTACATTGTGCAGTAGGAAGAGAGGTAAAAAGAAAATGACAAAAGGCATCCAAGACGGATGAACAAAAGGGTGCCCAAGGCCTTTACAATCTTTTGTTGATACTTGATGTACGTTTTCTAAGGGTACACCTATCTGAGTGTGGACGAGACAGCCCTAGCTTTTGTCTGCAGACATTTCAAATAAAGTTACATAGGGAGTGTTACATAATCAAGGCATTCAGATGGCCAATTGGCTTTCAGGTGATAGCGACAACTGAATTCAAAAGAATTCTTCAACAAACACAAAATACTGATGGATTTTAAGTGGTTCCTGAGTACAAGTGGACATGGTTTGCAAATTAACCCATGTCCAACTATTGTCCAATGTCCTTTAGTCTACATGGTTTTTCTCTCTCCGTGGGAAAGTTCTTCTTAACTTTTTTTAGGTTGTCATTCCATTGAGCATGTAACTGGTAAAATGAGGTCTGAAAGTAAGCTAAACTATCATGCAAGAACACTAACCAAACATGGTTTTTTAAGCCAATGATGAACATGGGGATCTATTCTATAATAATGAAAATAATGATTTTAATGAAGATAATTACAGCATTGAAACTATAAATAATACCAATAAGTATAAAATATTCCTCAAATTCAATGACAATAACAAAAATACAAATAATAACAATCATCAAAACAAAAATAATAAACAATAATAACAGTAATAACAATACACCACATAATTCAGTCATGATAAGCGCTTCACATCAAATTGTAATAAAAGAAATAAATCAATGAATTTATTATTAAAGTTAAACATATTTTTTTTATATGACAGAATTTTACCATTAATATATTATATAAAAGCAATGTAAAAAAAACTTAATTATGCAATAATTCTATGTATGGACAAACAAAAAATCAGATGAAATGATAGCCACAACGTAAACATGGAAAAACCACCACTAAAGAAAAGATTGAAATAAGGAAATGCATTAAGAAAAAAAATAAAAGCCAAAAAATTGAATTTTTATGATAATAATTATAGTACCCAGTGTCCATATCTACTATGGTTGAATTTTGTATATATTTAGGTCAGCATAGTAACATATGGAGACAAGGAACTATATTTTTGTAACACATTTGTATGGGGGTTAGCAAACCTTTCTTGGAACCTTTGTACTTTGCAAAGGTTAGAAGACTCCGCCGCTTATGTCTTAGTCCTGGAAATTGAGAGACGATAGAAGAAGAAAAGAGAACAGATATAAGATTAGTAAGGAGAATAAAGAAGTGATGGTTATGAGAAAAGACATTTTGTTGCATCCAAAAACTACAGCAAAGTACGGTAAATTTGAAATATATAAAAATGTTCTGATATCATAATACAATATAGTTCAAATTAAATCAAATCAAATATGCATTTAGTTTATTATAGATTATATTTCTTTTCAAAATATACTTAAAGTTAATAGAATAAAATGTTTTGCTGTTCATATACACTGCTATAGGAAGGCACTGATTCTTTTCTTCAAAAGAATATTCACAATAGCTCATGATTGAATTTAAATCAATAGTTTAAAGCAAGAGGAAAATCAGGGACGGAATGCTGTGAAAATAATCAATAAGGGTTTAGTCTGGAGTTTGATCCCTTCGTCTAACGCTCCCACCTCTTGGCTTAAATTCAGTGGAATAGAAAATGAAAAAAAAAAAAATCAATCATTCAACATGTAAATCTTTGCACTGCGACACACAATCATCCCTTTCAGAGGTTTCAGTTCATCTGTTGCACATCACAAATTCTGATTACATTTTCATTATTTGTTGGCTCTAAATGTTTTAATGAGTTTAAACATTTTCATTACACCAGCAAGTGTTTGAAATAAATATATTTATGGGAATGATTATTATAGTATTTTTTTTTTAAATATATGAAAAATATTTAAGTACAAAATTCAAACAAACATAATAATTAATTACTATCATTGTGTTCAGCTAATATCAATGTAAGTAAATTAGTGAAACTACATTTTTGTCAATTTGCCTCTCAAAAGATATCCAGTGTTTTAAACAAAAGTTCATATTTTACCAGCTGCAATTTAAGTTTGTGTATCACTATGGTTAGGGTTGACGTGCGGGCTCAATAATAATAAAATTATGTGTTCTACTGGCTAAATATCTACTTCCAAGTTTCATCATAGGGAATATTAAAGCATTTCAACTCAGCATTAATGAATGAACGAAACAAATGAATGGATTATGAAGTAAAACACAAGTTTCTTTTTTAAAACTTAATACATTGGTGTAGGTTTCACACGTTAACTATTGATTCGATAATTAAGCAGATGTTGACACGTTTCTTTTATGTTTATCACAGCGAGGTTTCCCCGCTACTCAATACCTGAGGATCTTGTATCACAGTGTACAGACAAGACATCAATATTTCGTTCATGTGTATTTTGTGTTTTTTTAATTATTTTAATTAGACAGGCAATGCTCAAACAATACAAATTTTGAAAGATAAGCATGTGCTAGGTAATGTTAAGCCCCATCCATACTATCAAATTTGATGTTACAAATACATGTGATTAGCCTATAAAAGGGTATGATATGACATCATCATGTCTGTATATGGGTGAATCACAGGGAATAATTGCAAACCTCAGATTAATTCAATGCATGACTGATGCAGGATGAAGAGATAAATAATTTTTAAAATAAAAAATATTTTGTACTAATCAAGTCAATGATCCAACTTAAAACAAATTTTACAATATTTTTCTATGTTGTACATACTGCAAGTTTGATTATACTTTAATAGTTTCAAAGTAATATTTAAATAAACTAAATTTACACTTTATTAATTTGGATAAGTCAATGATTCAACTTAAAATAATTTTTGTAATATTAGGTTGATTACTTTATTAGTTTGGATAATATGTAAAATAATAGGTTAAATTTAAATAAGCTGGAAATTATTTATAATTAAAGAGAATTGTTTTGAAAAGTTAAATTTAGTAAGCTAAATCTATAAAATAAATTTATTTCATTTTATAGTAGTATGCAATAAATACAAATTACTTAAAACGCAAGTCAGAATATACTTAACTTAGATTTAAATAAACTAAGCCATATGTAATTACTTAAATTAGTTCCGCATTATATAAATATGTTATGCAATATTTATATATTTATACCAGTAAGTTAGTTCACACCTAAATAGGTTAGGTAATACTTAAGTATTTAATTATAGGGGATAACTATAAAGGTTTTGATAATTTATCTCTAATTACCTGTATTACCTCCATGGTTCTACATAATGTTAAATACAAATTCTTAGATTAGCAAAAAAGACTGGATTGTGTCAACATATTCCGCACAACAAACAGTCAATTGAATGTTTTGATTACTTCTTTGGTTAATTATTGTAATAAAGTAAGAGAGTGTTTTTATTAAAAGATTGTGTCTATTCAAAGGCAGACGTTGAACCCGTGCCCACAATCTTAAATGTCTTCTCGCATATCAAACAAACTAATCGCATTTTGCAGACCACTACTCAAGCGAGGGCTTGCGCTGGTTTTCAAAACTGATGCATTGGTGAGGGCTAATTAACCGAGTTGGTGCACGCTTAGTTCTTTTGTGCGTGCGATGCCACAATAGTTTGCCCCTCGGAGGCATTTCACTTCATCTGTTCATGGTCCCATTCAACAACACACGTGTCCGTTGCACCTAACACTGCTAAAAACTAAAATCATTTGTTGGCTTCATGCTACAACCCGATAGTTAATTAATCGCGCATGTTTGATTTCAAATAATAAAATCATAGTCTGAGCTATGGAATAGGGGTCAAGGTGGTTGGTAGCACCTCCAAAAATGTTTGATTGCTATCAGGCACAGGAAATGCACATTGCACTTTCGTCGGCAGTTATTTGTTCAGTTACTCAGTCTCGTAAACTCCTACTAGCGAAATAATAATAAACAAAACAATACAAAAATCACACTTTTTCTGCCAACTATGAAGCACCAACACCTGACACAATAGTCTGTTTTATTATTTCAGGTTTCTTTATTTGCTATGTTACAGCACAACAAATTTGATAGGAGATGTTTATTGACTGTAAAGAACTGGTCTGGTAATCTAGTTCTGAGCTTTTTTTCAAATACTTGCTTACCTTTAATCACTTCTTTAAAAGTAATTGTGGTATAATAGAAAAGCTAGGAATAAACTTACCTCTGTAATTAATTTAACAAGGTTATTGAATTTATTGGGTAGTTACTGGGCATCTAATTTGTGTTTGATAAGAAAGGATTTAATCATTCTAAAATTTGTATAGGAAAACTGAGTTGTCAGACACTTTACTAATTTTACTATCTTACAGTGACTCTCTACCCACCAATTCACAGATAACATTCCATCAACAAATTTACAGATAATTCCTTCTACCAACTTATTGATAATTCCCCAAACCAAAGTACAGATAAATCCTCCCACCAACATACACATAACTCCTACTACAATCTTAACAACTCTTCTCACCCCCACCCCCAACAGATAACTTCACCCATCATCTTGCAGATACACCAACTTACCAATATAGTTATGTTTCTCACACCAAATTACAGATACACCTCATATTAACTTACAAATACTACTACATCTCTACTAATTTACAGATTCCCAACATCTTTCAACTACCTTAAAGATACCCTCTACTTAATACAGATATCCCCACATGGCAAAAAAGGGTATGACAACAATGACACTTATTACAAATATAATAATTTTTATATTCATGTCTCAATGAAACATTATTATATAATTTTAAAATCATATATACTATACTTTACTGGTAAATAAAAAAAAATCGGAGGCATTATTCTTCTTTATGGGAGTTAATAATAATAAATAACTTTCAGTGTCACCTACTGAAGTAAAATACTTCTTGCATAAAAAAGAAAAACTGACTTTGACGGTTAAACACAGTTCAAACTTAATGAGATTTTTATAACTAATTCATTTATCTTCCTTGAGTATAAACATGTAAATTAATAAGCTATTAGGCAAACAATTTCTAAGACAAATTCAATTCTTAGAAAGAACAGAATTCCATTGTAGTGTTTAGATTATCATAGTCAATATTATGTAATCAAAGTGTAATGTAAAATATTTCTTTTATCTCAATTAATGGGGTTGTATGGAACCTACAGTAAGCTATACAAACATATTTGTTAGATTGTGAGATAGGAAAGTCTAGAACAAACACCTAGTTTCCATAAGTTAAAATCACATTTAGATGCTATGTTTATACACAAACTATCTTTTGTAGGAATACCATAGATAACTATTTGATTAACAAACTTTCTTAAGTGTTCACACAAACATTATGTAATAAGTGAAAAATGGGCATTAATAGGAAAATAGGGCAGTCAGGCAGTTGACTGATATATAGGAAGTTGGTAGGCAAGAAGATGATCGAGTACAAAAATGGTTAAGAAATTGCTTTGCCCAAGAATAATAATAATAATAATAATAATAATAATAATAATAATAATAATAATAATAATAATAATAATAATAATGGTCAGTATATATAAAGCACATAGTAGAGACCTCTATGCGATTAACATTATTCCCCCATGTCATTGGATCAAGCACATATGGAACACATACTTGGGTCTCTGAGGAGAATTCCAAAATGTTTGCAGCTGTAATCAGCGCATTTTGTGTTAACCTACTATCAGCTGGCTAAACTGGTGGTAGCCACTGTGTGTGCGTTGAACCATGGAAAACCCTAGGTCCTCGGTTCAATTCCCATCGCTGGTCTTCTTGTGTTTAAACTGGAAGGCTGAAATGCAAGTTTCTAAAGTACAGTCTTTGGATGAGACATTTAAGCTGTAGGTCCTGTATGCAAAATTGCTTATGTGCACGTTAAAGAACGAAGTACACTCTTCAGAAAAAAAATAGGGGATCGTCTCCTGGTGTACTGCCCAATTCATCACCAGGACTTAGGAATTAGTCTTAGGACTTTTGTGGGTTATCCTTGGTGTATAACATGCCAAAAAAATCTAATCCAACCATTGCATACCATTGGTTCCCACTATCAATGTCTCAGCATCATATATGATTAATTATTTAAAAAACAGATTGCACAATACTTTCATAAACTTGGATTCATAACTCAGTTGATAGGGCGTACGAATGATTGTAAGAATGGTTTGTGTTGAAATCATATTGATTATATGTTCTCAAAATAGTATTATCCAAAATAATTATAAATATATAAGCATACAGATGAAATAGGAAAACAAACCTGAGCCAAATTCATCTGCGCTATCGTCTACCGGATTCAGGTTCTCATCCTCCAGTTCTGATAATAGATTAATTGAGTTGGCTATTTCTGAAATTTTCAATGCCGATTCTTTATCGGTGATTTCATCATCATCATCCTCGTCATCAAAATCGGCCATGTCCGCGATGTCTGGTTGGTGAAAACTCAATATACTGGCTAAACTCTGCATGTCATCATCCCTATAACACCAAAGTGGATTAAGTTAATTCTGCTAAAGAATACAATGCTGTGGCACGTTTTTCAATTTACGATTCACTGCCTGTTGTATTGATTACTTTCATATTTCAATAATAACAACATGTAACCTGTGCTAAGTCATCATTAACATCATTATCATTGTGTAAATATTACATAAATAAAGTAATATAAAAATGGCCTGTATAACTGACATATGAATAAACATGTACAGTATATAGCTTTCGATTTCCAGCAATTTTTATGTGTAGCAAAACGTGCTATGCACTTTCTGTTTTGTGTAGCAATTCCCAAATTGTGCATAGCATTTTTTTTTGCAGTGATAATGAATGGTTATTAAAGAAAAGAAATAACACTTTGCAATAAGAAAATCACAGTGATGCGTCTCTATTTTTCAACACTAAGCATTGAAACATACCCCATAATACTCCCTTACTTTAAATTTCCCATCAATTAATACTATACCCACCCCGTGCAGAGGTCAGCCTGGCTGTGATTACCAATTACCATTACCAACCATGTGACAATTGACAAGCACTGGCCGTCGCTTGTCTCACTCGCACTGTCGTACTATAACGTATTTGCTGCAAGCAATGTCCGGCCCAGTTTCAAACAGCGGAAGTAACAGCGCAGAGAAAGAAATTAAGATAATTTGCATAATGCACTTCTACACATTCATGACATGCCGCACTAGTATGGTACATACATGACATTAAGCAACATTACTCCTCACTGTACAAACACGTGTGTAAGCGAAAGTAATCTGCAGGAGAAGCAGAACGGAGGGAGTGGCAAAATATGAGAAAAGAAGCCCGACTCGTACTCAAACCAGCTGCATGAACAACGCTGTACATGTAGCATTGTATGTGTACACTCGATGTAAACATGCCTATTTTGGCCCAAAACACTGGATAACAACTTGACTTTGATTGTTTTTAAAACAATTTTGGGACTTTTATTTGCACAAAGCCTCTTAGTTTTACTTTTTCTGAGATTGAATATCTTAGCCTTCAACATTTTCTACTCCGCAGGTACAAATTTGGTTCCATTTATTGCAGGGTGACAAATGTCGAAAACATGAATTCTTAACCAATGCTGAAACTGTATATATTAGCCACAAAAACCACACTAGGTATTACATCAGTCACTGGTTGCCAAATATTCTCAGCAAAGAATGGCTAACAACAATAATAATATTGTAGAGCTGTTTCATCGATAATAAACCACACACTATAATATTATTAATAATAATACTCAATAATATTAATTTTAAGGTTGTGATTTTTCATGAATATAATATAGTGAGTGACTATTTTTTATTTGTCATTTTTTAATAACAAATACATACATGTGTATCAACAAACATAATCAGAATCAATGATTGGTTAATTATTACTACTACTCAATAACATTGCCAACAATATGTATAGGCTAACTGTACCCTGATTTTTTTATGGCACAACTATATATGTAGCACATACCACAAAGTAGGCTGAAAGCATGTAAAGTATAAAGGAATGTTCAAATCTATCTCTTTTTTAAATGCTATAAGTTTTTCAAAAGAGACACCTTTGAATACAAATTCATGTCTAGCAGCAGACTGTCTGAATGCCTGTGCGTGACTGTTGCTCAACCCAGCAAGGTTCTTCTAACAATTACCAATTATTAAATGCTGAATAGTGAAAAATCATCAAAGCATTTAAAATGAAGCTATACTGACAAGGACACCCACTTTATTCAACAATCTAGGAGGCATCTTGACTAACAACAAGAACTATGTCTAGTGGACGTCTCGAGCGACTCACAACAGGGATGATGCTTAGTGACAACTGAACTAACAACAGGGGGTAATGTCTAGTAATGTTTCAACAAGCCAAAGGGACTACGTCTAGTGAAAATCTTGACTGACAAGAGGGACAATGTCTAGTGGACATTGTGATTGAAAACAGTTACTATTGTAAATGTTGACCAAGCTAAAAGGCTGTGTAGTCTCTAGCCTCCGCTAGGTTGTCACACGTGCAAAGAAATGGGAGCATATCATCCTAAACAAAAATTGTCTATGTCTCTAGTTGACCAGTTTACAACATCTAGGCTCATTTTAGAGAAAAATCTTAGAAAAGAACACATCTGTTAGATTGTCACACTTAAAAGAAAGAGGAACATATCATCGAAAGGTCCACTGATTAATCTCATATAAGATAGTATAATACATACTCCAAGTATCGAAATGCACGCCATCATGTCGGGATTCAGGAACATATCTTAAACAAAATGCATCTATACTGTCTACCTGTTGAATTCAGCATACACTGCTGACAAAAGCTTGTGTAATAAATAATTTAAAAGTTAGTTACTAAATTGCGACCAATGTTATATTATACTACGTACCTGTCAAACATCTGATTCACTAAAAAAATTACACTTAAAAGGATATTCCTAATAAATTATATACAATCTATCCTAATGATGATATTCCAATATACCAACGAAGATTCTGAGAACATCTACTACAACTCTTTCTGACAGAAGATGATGCTAAAAAATAAATAGAAATAGATCTTTGCTTGTTGCTACTCCAAGAATCTGGAATCCACTGCCAGAAACAGACTAAAGAAACTATTTTTTAAAAGCATGTTTCCAATTAGTTTAATTATTTTCTCTTCACTAATATCCTTGTAGAACTGTTTTTAGATAATAAACCAAATTATAACAAGCAAACCAGATAACAAGCAAACCAGATAACAAGCAAACTATTCGAATATTTAAGTAATACCCTAGATTTTTCCTCCTTGATTATTCTCTTTTAGTTCTGGTACCTTGAGAACAAAGCCCACACCGATGCTGTATAATATCCATTATTAGATTGTAAGGTTTCTAGTTGACGAGCGTTGGATGATAAACCTACCTTGCCAATAGACCTCTGAATTGTGTTCAAAGAATATAGCAAAATACAGATGGAACGTTAACTCAATTTGCTGAACTTACATTGCAGATCCTTCCTTGATTAGCATACATGACATTGTAAATGTGATGCTAGCATCATTGCATTTCTTGCTGTTTATCGGTCGCAGCTTAATGGTCTTCTGCTCCTGAGATGGAACCAAGCTGGCAAAGTCTTTCATGTTCAGGGTGGCTTGTGCCAGAGGTCGCCTCTTCCCTTTCTGTGACTCCTACAGTAAAAAAGATGCACAGAAACTATACAAGTTAACAAAAAGACAACATATCATGAGGAAGATTTAATTAAGGTTCTTAATTACATACAGGATGAGAGGAAACATCTGAGTATATTCTTGAATCAACAGATGCAAAATGATCAGTAGAACACATTATCTCGGATACTGCTTTTCTTTAGCTGTATAGCTAAATTTTTATCTTTTAGTTGTATTGTCAATTTTAGTAATTTTTCTCCTTTGACTCAATGGAAGTTAATATAATTTATAAACTTATCATAATTATTCATTATCATTATTATCATCATTATAATATCATTAATATTATATCATCATCATTATTAACATCAATATTTTCATCAATATTATACTGTAATCATTAACATTAACAAGGTCTCTTCAAAGTCATAAACTTTACATTATCATCATTATAATTATGATATCATCCTACTAATAATGACTATAATTTTATCATTGTGTCAGCCCATGAATTTCACGTCCAAATTTCATGGGCTGTTGTGTAATAATCAATATCGTTATATAATCATTGTCACTATCATTAACTAATGATACAGTCCCATCCATTCACATTTGGGTTTTTGGTGGCGAATGATGTAAAATGTGTCACTGCTCCTTTTTTTTACACTTACATCTTCGATGACAAACATCCATTCCTTGTCTTCAAATTCTGCATCTGGCCGATTTTCCTGACAAAAAAAGAAGACACGACATATACTACCAAATCAATCCACGAGAATGATTAGTAGACTACCTACAAATATCTTACTGTCATTATTGAAAATCATACTGGTATAGTTTATTTTGTTTGAATTTGATACTCTGAGAACCAATAAGAACACTTTGTCATTCAATATTATATATATTTACATTTATCAGTTCATTTTAATCATTGGCAGTGAAATTACAGGTTTGAAAGTTAAATGCTTGTGTTCCAACCTTAAGGTCCTGGGTTGTTATTCTGAGAAAAGGAATCCTACTCAGAGGCCTTACAAATATGAAGTGAGTACTTATAAAGTAATGGTGGTGGAGTTGAGTTGAATATCATTAATATGACCTGGGTTCAATTCCTGTACCACCAGGATTTTCCACGACTAAAAAAAACTCCACTCCCAAAGTCTCATAAAGAGACTTCACTGATAAAAGCATCACAGTATTTCATTTATAAGGGGCTCCTAAATATCAGCTGACCTTCTAGGATATGCTGGAAGGGTCACCCTCTATAAGTATGGTTTTAAACAATTGCCTACTTTCCTCTTAAGCGGATTTGCTCTTGGATGTAAAACAAATACAAAACTAATTATATCTTATATAAATTAATTTTGCTTATTTATATAAAGTAAAACTTTGCTTTGAATAAACCTCTTTGATTGGATAATACAGAAATGTTTTATGATAAAAAAAATTAATGTTGTCACCATTGGGATTTGAACCCAGCACTGTGGTCTCAACTGAGCTGGGACAACCATAGTTATACTCACCTTGAAAAGAGTGACAGTGATTTCAACATTTTCAGGAACTGTCCATACAATGGAGCCTCTATATGGATCTTTAATACCAGGTACCCATTGATGTAACTAAATGATGAAAAAAATAGAACTGTAGTCACCTTCATATTTCCTCAGTACCCATGTCAGTACCATCGACGGGTACAATTATACCCCCTTTTCCGAAGACCTAATTGAATTTAATTCACTTTCAAATTAGTTATATTCATTATTTATACTATTCATTATTTATGTACTTTGCTTAATTTCCTTTCAAATTTATTAAATTAGGTTAAAAAATGATTGAGTATGTTTGATGAAGCCAAATTGTTTTTTTTTTGTTTTTTTTTACAATGTTTTTTTTGCCAACCAAATGATTAAAGACTATGGTAGATCCTTTTTGTCTCTGAAGTATGACTGAAATAAATGCACTGTATAAACTAGACATTCAAACTATAAATCTTATCAAAAGTTATGCATACTTTTGTAGGTTTTTTTCTCCCTCTTCTTGTCCACACAACAGTTAGTTTGTTTGGTTGCCTGAAGAGAAGAAAACATTACAATTTCACCCATCAACTACCAACAATAACGTCTTTTAAAAGTTTATAATGTGATTCTATCTATATACAATGAACAGGAAACTGCATTTCCCTCCCAATAGAAAACCGACCTAAACTAATTTTTTATTGATACCACTCTTTGGGGTGTAATAACAAAACAAAGTGTCCTCGGGCAGTGATGGTTGAGTGACCATTTTGTGAATTTTTTTTGTACAGATATTATCAAGGTTTGTACACCAGGAGCTATTGATTCAACTTTGAGATTGGTAAAAAATTTTAAAGAAAAAGGTACAAAAAATAGTACAGTAACCCTAAAATATAAGAAAAAACAAAACCAAAATTTTCTAAAAACTTCCGATTTAAGTCTTGACGCAATTAGATTTTTTTTCAATTTGTGTTTAGTAGATTTTAATGTACTTGTATCTACAGTAAAACACTAGATGTTTTTGTATTGTTATACATCAAAGAAATCGAGTGGCATATCTGAAAGTACAAAATGACTAATTTGGGGAGGGGGTGCTCATTTATTCAGGTGTATCTGGTAAGGGGTATCTGGTAAGGGGTCTCACACTTGTTATTGGGATGTGCACCTTACATACTCCTTAGATAAACCACTGCTATTACATCTATCAGGAATTACTACAGCCTTTTTTTTTTAAATATCAGAGATATGGCTCCGACAACTGAACTTTTGATTTTATATAAAATCCATCGTAGAAACAAGCCAATAATCAGCTGAATTTGTAAAGAGATTTATTAAAGAGGTTTACATTATTACAAGCACAAATCAGTAATAAAAATAATGTAAGTAGCTTAAAACAAAAAGTTAACTGCTTTATTCTTAAAGAGTTAAGTGGTTTTATTTCCAAGCCTATAGAAAAGTAACACCACATTGGGTGAAGATTAGCTGCAGGTAGGGTGGTAAGAAGCCAGTTTCTACAGTACCTAGGTATTAGCTTAGCCCACGACGGTAATCTGATCCAATTTATTCAAATTGTTTGGGTGAATTTACACCCATTTGGAAATTAATTCGTGCAATTAATAAGCTATTAAGGTGGAAATATTTTAACACCTATGGTATGACCTCTTGACCCAAAATCCTGGTGATCTCGTTTGGGAATACAGTGGGGATTAGCCGAACTATGTCAACAATCGGATTTTGTAAATCATACAGAACAACCTGTATTAATTATCAATGTGTTACAGTGACATGATTCCTTTTGCTCTTCCGTAAATAAAGGCAGGGGGAGGGAGGTTGAACAACTAACAGTGATTCTTGTTATTTGTTGAACATCCTCAATCTTTTTCTATTATCTGTTTTTAACAATGGAAATAATATTCGATTTGATTTGAATAATATTATCATTATGGCAGCCATTTTTATGGCATACATTCTATGTAGGCCTAAATACATAACACTGTTTTAAATAATAAGTGCAGCTCTCGAAATAGTGCCGCTCTTGTATTAGCACCGCAGTGAAAAAAAAAAAAAAAACCATCCAAAATTGATTAATTACTTCAGCGCAATCATAAACTACTTGAATTGGTGTAATTTTTATAAGTGACTCTAATGAGTATTGTAATATTTGGTGATATTGTGTAATGTATTTCTTTAATGTTTAATTTTTTTTATAATGCATATGTATTATTATTCTATACACTACTTATGTCTGTACAATAGAAAGTGCTTAATAAATCTATAAAAAATAATAATAACAATAATAATAATAGTAGCAATAATAAATAATGACTATGGTACAAAGCTACAGGACTATAGAGGTTAAAATGTATTTGTTATCATGTACAGTAAATATTTGACACAACTGAAACATGCTCAATAGCACCTCCATCATCTCTCAAAGAGACTAATGAACCTAATTAACAAAGCTCATTACAAAAACCAAACATGTTTTGTTACACTGTGTTTGCATAGAAGCAGAAGTCGATGATGCTTAAGTGTTGTCCAGATTATCCAATTTTCTGACAAAAAACTGTTGTATGCCCATATATAGTCATGATGTGCCTATATATGGTTTATGGTGTGATGTCATTATGACTATATTAATACAGTAGGTATGTCACATGCTTTTGTAAAATAATATTTTATAGTCTGGGACAGGACTTTAAAGATATATTGTTCACTGAAACTTAGGCATAGAAATTATTTAAATAAAAAAGTGTGTACCCTGAAAAATAATAATAAATAAAAAAATAAAAAAAATCATTTTTTTTTGCTGTAACATTATGTGTAAAAAGTTTTTTTAAATACATTAATTTCTATGTTCATGTTGATAATGTTTATGTTACGCTAAAATGAGCAAGTTCATTTCAAAACTGATTTTCTTTTTTCTGTGCTATTTTTAATGGGACAATACATCTTCAACTTCCATTAATCCTCCTAATTTTTCAAGAATGTTCTCATTCATTTGTTTTGTAAAGTTATAATATTATATAGGTATCCTTTCTTTCAATGAATATTCTGTATCCAATTGCCAAATAATATTAATAATTGATGACGAAAAAAACCAAAAATAAAACATACTAATTTTTAATTTCAACTGCTCCAGTATTATTGGAGTAGTTTAAAAAATAAGTGATTTATTTGCGGTACAATTTATATTTTAAAAAGAAGCGTAATCATGCCTTCAGGGTTCAGTTATTTGCCACCTCCACAAGGAACACATATAATGCTGTCATGTGTTTAAGTATTTTGTCTTTTTATAAATGTGCCAGTTGTAAATGACTCATTTTCTACGCTGTACCTCAACCTATTGAATGACGTTTAATGCTATAGCCTCTCGTATATTTTCTTAGTTCTAATCCCCCGTTAAGATGTGAAAGACACATGACCTAATTGTACCCACTCGGCCGCATAAATGATGCCGAGGGCAGAAAACCACCACCTTCCTGCTTAGGAAGAACGCTACATAATCAAAAAACTTGATCTTAACTTTGTTCTTAATGGTGAAATTCTTAGTCCAAGTGGAACAACGTTCCTGCACCACAAGTGAAATCATGTTACATCTTTGACTGGTGGTTGATTAAAACTTCAAAACATGATATTACTCCAATTAAAAAATATCTATAGTATATGACATAAATTTATGTTTTGACTATAGTTAATAATAAATCAATAAAGATAAGCCAATACACATAAATCTGTATTATTAGAAAATAATTAACTTGCATTTCAGCAACAATTCAGGTTTTTTTTCAAAATAATGACCTGAAGAAGACATCATGATGTAACCATTAACTTATAATTAGTATGGAATGTTTTTTTCAACATTAACAAAATAATAATTTATTTCATAAAACTAGTTTGTGACTATTTAAAAAATATAATAAACAAATTATGTAGTAGACAATGTTATTGTTTTATATTCCCATAAACTGTAATGTTTGGGAGTCTAATATGATAGAATTAATAGCTTCTTAGAAGTCTTTCCTGAGGCATTCGATACACAAAAACGTAAAGTGACGCTATAGGCCCTAAATAAATGTGGTTCTCTAACATAAATGAAATGATACGTCATTGGTGTAACTTAAGCTAACATATGCCCAACTCATAGCACACGGCACCTGGTATCATGCGATACGTGATCTGTTTATATACAATCATTAGCTAATAAAACGATTAAACCAAGTTCAAATAATACATGCAATAATCATATGCTAATTGATTAGGAACAACCGATATTTAATCAAGCGAGGTAAATGAGGGTTTAACCATTCATTGCATAACATCTGCCTGAAGAAACCAAAGTTAGCCAGTCTTCAAACACCCAATGAACCACTAAATATCATTTGAAATTAAACTCATTTATTTAATTAACCAAATCAATCAATCAGGATTTTATTAATTAATGGATCATAATACAAAAATGTAAGTACAAAATTAATAACATATATCATAGACTTTGGTGAATTCTTGAAAAAAACCACCTTAAACATTCAATTTTACAGAACTGAATTATTCCTCATTTGGAAAAATCTAAAGCATTGTCTTTATACAACCAATGTACAGTAACTACAAAAATCTGAAAATTGATTAACAACCAAAATAAGGTCCTACAGGACCTGTATGCATGTAAGAATATAGGTCTTACATTTGTTACATTTTCCTATTTTAACATTAAACTACTAGATCACTGTAAATTAATTTATATAAAGAATATGATTGGTGAAAACTATTTAAATTAGTAAAGATTTAAAGTGTTTGCTTCATCCTGTTATTTTGGATAGTTGAATTTTGTATTTATTTATTTTTATATATTTTTAAATAATGTTATTATGTAGGTTATAGTAAAGTATAGATCATTATCACTGGTAGAATAGAAATGTTAAGATAGTTGCAATAAGTTTGCTGAAATAATTGGAAGGTTAAATTGGTGAAACTGCCAGCAAAAGTTTGAATAAGTCATTTTGTGAAAGGGGATGAAAATTTTACAAGCCTAATTACTGTCAACGATTGCAATAGATAAAAGAAATCTTAAAATTCCTTATTAAGGACCTCATTATATCTGGGAGAAGGCTGGCTGACTAGGTTGGAAGCCTAGTGATTCAAGTTATTGTTCAGCACTAAAGCCATCCAGGGTATGTACTTAGTTAGAAAATGAAGTTTTATTCCATGACGCTACAAACTTTGTCAATGCTGTACTAATTAACGTGTCCTTTGAGGCATTCATCTTGCCGCTCATAGTGAGCCAAATACTGAAAGCAGAATGTTCTCAATGGTTAAGATTTGTTCTGTGTTTCATGATCATGATAGTAAGAAACAAAACAAGTAAACACTGCATTAAATACGTTCTAGCTCCACTATTCATTAAAGAAGACACTGCAAACAATACAGCCTACAGACTGAATTGAAGGATCACTTCTTCAGCTACACTACAATCAAAATTTCATGAAAGTTGGGCTGAGTGAAAGGACGACAATCCTGTATTCAAACACAACATGAAACATGGAGAAAGGCACTTC